GGACCTGCATGAAAGACCCATGCATGACATGGATGGACCTTTGATCTGACCCAGTATGACCATTCTTATGTTCTTATGAGCTGCTTCCTGTGATATGTGAAGGCAGCGACAAGGGGCACCAGAGAGACTGCATTGCCTATAAGCACCAGGCAGTCTGTGGGCCTGATTTTCCTCTAAATCAGGCTTAGCCAGTTGTCTATTTTCACCACAGTTAGTCGTCTTTTGCCCATTGATACTGAGAACATTCCCTAAAAATTTGGAATTAATCAGATGTGGTGTTCAGAAGTTACAACATTATATCCACGCAAAAAGATGGACAGAGAAATGTCATCGAAGCTGAGTGTAGAGAGAAATGGCAGCAAGTTAAAGGTAACACCCTCACTTTGCTTGGCCAAAAATAGTGCTGACAGTTTTGTTCAATCTAATTTACCTCTTCACATTGTGAGTCACTGTAGTTTATGAAGTTTGAGGTAACAGTGAAATATATTAAAGTTTAAAACTCATAAGAAAATCAGAACAGGATAATGAGTGATAAGATCAATAAACATTAGATTCTCAGTACCATTTTTAGTAAGCAGATGTTGCCTGCAAGGGACAAAATTAAACCTCACAAAATGAAAAAAATATTCCATTCTAGAACAAAAAAAATTAGGGAACTCCTTTTTAAGTTGTATAAGTTTTTATTAAAGTACCATGAACTTCCCAATGACATCTGGCTTTATGTAAGCATTCCATGTGTTTTGCCTTGATAAAGATCATTGCTTGCTTATTAGCTATACTGTCTGGTCCCTCTTTTTCCATAAAGTCCTTATGATCTCAATGAGCCAGAAGCTTGGTGGTCTGCACAAAAAGCAGCTATAAGTGTCACCTGGTAATTAGAACAAAGACATTTTGTTTTCAGTTCTATCAAGGTAATGATGTGGGGGAGCGGGGGAAGGGGGATGTTGGCCACTTTTCTCCCATGCTCTTTTCTCCCTCCCGCATATCCTTACCAATTTAGCAGCTAATGAGACAATTCAGAAACTAAGAGCAAGTCTGTATCCATTAATGCTCTAAAGGGGTCCTAAACAAGAATCAAATGGCAACTGGATTTGTTTTCCTCTGGCATTGTGTGATTGCAGTCTGCAGTACTTTTCTCATCTCTACATATGTTACTGCACAATTATAAAATTGATCTTGGGGCCTAATCCTGCATATAGATATGTATGGGTCTTTATTCCATATCCACAAAGGCAACATGCATCAGGTACACTAGAGGACTGCCTATTGGCGTGATCACCTATTGGGCTACAGAAATTTGTAACAACTTATTGACACAATTGATTTCTGTTTTTTCCTAGAGTTAAAATGTCAAAATGAGTACAGGAAACATTTTAAAATTTGGCTGTTCCAACAGAGGTTGGATGGTTAAATGTTCTTGCCCAAAGAACAATGTATTTACTGATTTTTTTGGCTGACTTTTTTCATCAGAACATGGTGATTCATCAAAAAGGAAACTTTTTTTGCATGAAAGTGTTGTTGTTTGAGAATTTCTTCTTTCAATTTTTTATTAACTGAGTCCTCTATTAGCTGCTTCATTATCTGGCCTTGGATGAATGTCAGACTGACAGTCCTCTAATTACCTGGGTCATCTCATTTATCCTTTTAAAATATTGGCACAACATGAGCTTTCTTCCAGTCTTCTGGAACTTTCCCAGTGTTCCATGATTTATAGAAAATCAATATCTATGGTCCAGTGAGTGCCGTAGACAACTCTTTTATAACTTGCATTTAAGAGTTATCTGGAACTGTTGATTTAAAAATATCTAACTTTAATAGCTATTGTTAACATCCTCATGAGAAGCTAGTGGAATAGGAAGAGTGTAATCATATGATGTAATTACATTATCTGTTTTGTTTTTTGCCAAATATAAAATAGAAATATTTATTGAATACCTCTACATTTTCTTCATTATTATTGATAATTCCACCATTTCCATATAGTAATGGACCAATAGCATTGTTAGGATTTTTGTTTCTAATATATTTATTATCCTTAACTCTACTAGCCATAGATGTCTCTCTGTATCCCTTGACTTCCCTTATCAATTTTCTACAATTCTTAGTTTCTGAGTTATAGTCATTATTATCAGCTTCCCCTTTCTTCCATTTGTTATACATTTTTATAGTTACCATCACTTCCCTTCTAAACCAGGTTGTTTATTTTTTTTAACCAGTACAGTCGTCTTCTTTGATTGTGGCTTCTTGGGGGACGTGTAGTAAAGTGTTCTTAAACAATTCCCAATTATCATTCACATTTTTCTGATTAAATGTACTTCTTGGCTGATTTGACTCATAATTGTTTTCAGCTTTGTGAAACGGATCCTTTTGAAGCACCAAGTATGCATTTTAATGATCTAGACTTTATTCTGTTTGCACTTTATAAATGTGATTGAGTCATGATCGCTTGTACCTAAGCTCCCATTATCTTTAGTTCTGTAATCCATTCTTCTTTAACAGTCAAGATGAGATTTAATAAAGAATTCCCTTCTGTTGAATGCAACACTTTTTGAAATAGAAAATTGTCATTATAATATTTAGAAATTCCAAATGTTTTAGTACTTGCAGCATGAGACCTCCAGCATTTGTCACTCAATTTGAAGTCCCCCATGATCATGCATCTTTTTATCCTACACATTATAGATGGGTGTGTAAGGAGATGGTCATTCTGTTCCCTATGATTTGGTGTACTGTAGTACACACCAATACCCCATCTTGTGATTTACTTGTTAGGATGTTGATCCATAAGCAATCAAGATAATTTTCTTATCTATCAGTAACTCAGAAACAGATAATGTCATTGACATAGAATGCCACTCCTCCCTTTGCCCACTTGATTGTTCCTACTTAAGTTAGAACCATTGATTTTAACATTCCAATCATGGAAATCACCCTAGTACATTATAGTAATACCAAATAGACTGAATTTCTGTCTTGGCTCCTGGAAGGCTTCTGAAGTCAATGGGCAAGAGTCCATTGGTGATTGTTCACATTGACACTAATGGTGCTGCATCACAGGATATCTCACAGATAATAGATGACTTCAGGGAAATTATAAGTGTGCTGAAAAAGAAAGTTGTCCAAGCAATTGTCTCTGAGATCCATCCTGTCCCACTAATGAGGGAAGATAGATTCTGAAAGTGAACTGCTGGATAAGTCAAAGCTGTATGGTTTTGTTTTTTTCTGGACTATTGGTTCACTTTCTTTGGGGAGAAGAGGATGTGTAGATTGGATATCCTTCCCTGAAATATAAGGGGAACCAAACTCCTCAGGAACAGGCTGGCTGCGTAGTCAGGAGGTCATTAAACTTATAACAAAAGGGGAGGGTAAAAAGAGGGAAGATATGAGCATTCATTTAGCACAGAATGGACATGTTGAGAGTGAAATTAATCAAGGAACCAAAGGAAAAGAAGGGAAGAAATTATTTAATTGTCTGGACACCCATCATAACAGCCTGGGTAACAAACAAGAGGACTTGGTCTGAGCTACCATCCACAGGTGTTTCCTGTACATCACTACTTTCCCTTGGACCAGCTGGATCTTGAGAGGTGTCTTTCACATTTTTCACATTAATGATCAGTTGGAAACTTCTAGCTGTATGGAATTTCTTTTGGGCCTCTTCTGTCTGTTGCCCACAGACTGTCCATCCTACATGTCTCCAGAATGCTGTTGTGACCTCTTCTGCTGATTATGAATTGCCAGCCCTCCTCTCTGAATTTGTCTCTCACCAGTTCCTTAGTGGCCAGCTCCTTCTTTTCTTGAACCTGGGGTATTTATGTTTCCCGGACCTGGTTGTCTAGGAACTCCTAAACTTCTCTGATTCTCAGTAGTGTCTCTGCTTGCCCCTGGAATCCAAAAATCTTCCCCCAGTATAGCAACCAACTTCCACTTCATATGCTGGAAGTCCCTTCTGGCTTCAGGCAGGAAAGAAAATATGGCACATCCGCTGCAAGATACCGTCATTTGTCAGTTAATGGCCATCTAGAAGTTGCATATAGAAAAGTTCCAGATTTTGCTTCAAAATGACTTTTCTTTTTGAAATTTAAGTTAATTTATCATTTAAAATGGGGGAGCAGGAGGGAAATGTCAACACTGAAAAGGAAATCTTTCAGAATTATTGAAAAAAATGTTTCAATTGACCTGAATTTTTTTTATGCACATTTTTGAGATTTCCCTCTTTTGTCCCAATGCAGAACAGGATTTTGTTTTCAAAATCTCAAAAATTTTCAAATAAAAGATTTTCTTTCCACCTCTAGTATTTACCAGTGTACAGATATACACTGCACTAGGAGAGGATTTGATCATGGGATAATTTTAGAGTGTTCGTATCAAAACTTTAGTACAAGTAAAGTGACCATATCTGACATACTGTTAGTAGAACACTGCCACCTCTTTTAGACAGGTACTGTATTCCTGTGATATGATTATAACTTGTGCTTCAGTTTTACAGTGTTGGTGGGGAGAGGAGAGGTGTGTAGCTATGATGTGCTGTCTTTATAGGATTGAGAATTTCATGCAATAAATTTAAATAATTAGCACAACCCACCCTAAACTGTAAAAATTTGATATATAATTTTCTGTTTATTCATCACTACCTTGCTATGACCCTCAGATTTAGAGTTAATGACTGGTGTAAATTGTACTGAATGCAAGGAGAGCGAGGATCTCCTCCTGCCTGGGAGGAACTCACACATTCTTCCACTAGGAGCCCCCAGTGAATGCATAGGCAGTTGCCTTTCTTATTTATTTATTTCACTGCCTGCAGGATGGAGAGTTGACTTGGGAATTATTAATGCACATACAATTTTTATTTAAATAAAATACTCAGCCCCAAGTTTTTTTAAAAAATAATCCAATTTTGTTTTTGTTTTTTTAACTTCATGCATGGACTTTTAGTATTGCTTGAAATTAGACTTCATTGTGATTTCTTTGCTTTTAATCATTTGTTTGTATCCCTCCAGGCTTCCTCTTTCTACACACCTGTCAACAGATGTCCTTGCTGCTGCTTCTGATATGTCTGGACTTCTCAAGCCTGCTGAGCCTTCCTTGAGTTCTCCTGGGTTGCCATCAGTGTGTCAGAAGAGTTTGTGCCATAATGGAGGGACTTGTCATCACATCCATCTTTCTAGTGGGGCCGCATCATTTCAATGTGACTGCCCTCTACATTTCTCTGGGCGTTTCTGTGAAAAAGGTAGTTGTGCTTCATTCTTTCTATATTCATTTTTTAAGTGTCAGTATTCTGTTCCTTTTGAGCGGGAAAAAAGACAGAGAGAGGGATTTGCAAGCATTTTTTCCCAGCTTCTAATTTCATTCACTCTCAGTAAATCAGGAGTAAGATCCCTGGAATAAATGGAATTACATTCATGTGAAGCTCAGTATAGTGAAAACCAGAAGCAGGCACATTATCAAGAATTGCAGAATAGAATAAATAAAGTACACTGTGGAATGCCAACAGACAGTGAACACTACACCACCTTTGGAAGAGGAAAAAATGTTAGTCATGCAAAGTAAGATAAATGTTTATATCCCCTTAAAGACAGCGAGCTTTTCATTTCAACAGAATGCAATTGTTGCTCCCAATTTTTCTTAGGCTGGACAGTTTGACTATTCCTAAATTTCTGCCTGACTTCCCTTTAGCTGTATGGAACTACTGTTGACTTTTAAGAGACTTTTTTTCCCCTGCATTTTGTTTATACCCTTATTGAATTACTGCTGTATGTGGATGCTGATATTTCACAGACAGCTCAAAGCAGCATATTTTAGTTAGCTTTGATGTTCGATAAAAGGATTTCTCTGGATAACTTTGGTTTCCTTGTAAAAAATTATGAATGGTATAAGACAAACTGATCAGTAGCTATTCCCTTTTATGTTTGCAATCATAATACTTTTATGCTATTACTTCTCAAACTTCCTTTTCTTAATAAGTAGCATAGCAGGTTTAAAATATTGTTTTAACGTGTAAGGTATAATCACCTCTCAATGGTGGTGGATAATTCCCATTAGTACTAATGGGAATTACTTGTGCGTAGCTAAAGGATAATATGCCCCCATTATAATTAAAGCTCTAATATCATTCTAATAGACTTTCCATTGTATGAAATAGTACCATGTAACTAGAGCCAAAAATGCACTTTCCAGATTGTCAATATATCTGAAGATAATGGAACTAACCTGCATCACCTTGTATAACTGGCTGAAAGTAGGTCATTGTACTGTATGGGAAACCAATCAATGACTCTAAGTTAGAAAAAATGACTGCAGTGTGTGATGCCTTGGATTTCATAGAATATTTCATTACTTCTCATCTCTTTCCCAAGTTTGTAATAAACTAAATCATACTCAGATTTTTTTCAAATTGTTAGTGTTAAAACTGAACTTTGGGAATATATCCCACACATCTGTTATCTAGAATTACCTTGTATAATTGTTTCTGAATTCATTAGTTATATAAGCTGTGCCGTAAACTACCTGACTAAAAAATGTTTGTTTCTCTAAGGAAGATCTTCAGACAGAACATGTTTTATGGCAATACAGAATCTTTCTAAGGGTTATTTCTTATAGTTATTTGAATTTTAGGGAGAGACTCACCCTCAGTGTTGCAGGGAGTGCAAATGTACCAGCAGGAGCTCCTACACCTCAGAGGGGACTCACATAGTGTTTGGCCTTTCTGGGGATCCTGACAGGAGCAGGCATCTTTAAAGTACAGCTGAAGTGCCATCATCATCTTGCTAGCAGGGCATACACACGGTATATGCTGAATGAATGCATCTGCCTTGGCTAATGCCACCTGCTTCTGGGGCTGCATTGTCCAGTGCAGAGTTGAGTGGAAGTAGCTAATGCCTTGTGCTGAGGCCATCTCACCCACCAGCTGCTCTTTCTGCCTCCAGGAGCCCTTTACTCTGGGTTACTTTGGTGAAAGCTGGTATAATAACAGGATTGAATCAAACTCTCTGGACCCAGTATTTCCATCATTAAAGTCAATGAGAGTTTTGCCCGAGGACTTTACTGGAAATCAGGTCAATTGACTATAGAAACTCTTTTCTATATACAAGTGATTAAATAATATGCACAACCTTTTATAAAGCTTTCGAATTGCAGTTTATTTGCAAGGGGTACTAGAAATATTTTAATATGTACACAACCATGAAAGTACATGTTTACCTAGCTCTTATAACATTAGCACTTTGAAACAAAAGTATACAAGCTGACTTAACAATCAGAAATAACACATAACCTGAAAACACTTATTCTTAAACAGGTGAAAATATATTTTGACTAAACATTAAGTAAACCTTTTACAAAATTCACACAAGTTAAGCACACATGTTAATGTTGTGTTTCAAGTCACAGTGGCAGATTAGGTTACTTATGACATATCTACTTATTTGATAATACTTAGTTCTTAAGGATAGTATCAGGTACATTGATACAAACTTGTTCCAATTCCCTACATTTCCATGCCCTTGTACAAACAAGTTGTGATGTGCTGCACCTACATTGCTGACTTCTGCAACCTGTTATGCAGCCACAGAATATTGTCTCCATATAGTCTGCTGGTATTGGTGACAATGACATGAGCTGTGCACCAGGCCTGTTTCCAATGCATTGTAATTTAAGGAGGAAGTATTGGATTTGGGCAGTGGCCCTGTTTCCTGACTAGTGCCTGCTAATGAGCTCTCTGCATGTGGAAGAAAAGAGCATCACTTGTTGAGGGCAGAGCGTCTAATGACCACATGCTTTGTTAGTGCTGTGGATCTCTGGCAAGCAGTACATCTTACAAATAAACTCTTCTGCACTTTTCATCTTCTCCGAGTCAAGGTCACCCTGTCCAAGGTGTGTTAGAAGCTGATTGTGTCATTGAAAAACTATCCATATGGTATTCTTGCTGTGTACAACAAAAAAAAGAAGGAGCCTCACAACCAGTCAGGGTACAAAATTGGAGCAGATTTTCCAGCACAGTGGGTCTATATTGTAGTTTCTCACAAATGTCATGAATTAGAAAGAACTTTCGTTCTTTTGATGTGCCAGCTTTCATCCAAAGCTGCAAGCAAAAAGAATAAGACTATCAGGGTCCCTGGCTGCAACAACCACACTGTCTGCATCACTCTGGACACAAGGTAAAATCATCTCGCATCTGCTTCTTTCTGATGAGTGAGCAGCTGATTGGTGCTTTGTCACTCAACTGCAAGTCAGCCAGCACTACTGTGTGAGTGACAAGGCCCATTCGGATGACTGGCACCCAGCCACATTCCAGTTTCATTGTATGCTGGCACAATTTCAGGTTCAGATTTGGTTACACTGATATTAGTCTGTATACAGTGGCTGCAGTTGTGTTGATGGTATGTGGTGATGATGGTGGTAGTAATATTGTTTAATGCTTGTCTTGAATGGGATTTATACATTGATATGATATCACCAGAAATGGAACTGATCAATTACTACATTGCTCTGGGTCTGATTCTCTAGTAGACACAGCACAGAGGGATGGGTGCAGCCCAGAATCCCCATGTCACTATGCACTACAGCCCCACTCCTAGCTCATCCAGTACTAGGTTTGCAAGGGAGGCAATGTAAGGTCACTTACAGCAGCCCTACACTGTACATGTATAAGGGAAATTCTCCTCTGGCTACTTGTGTGTCCCCCTGCAATCAGCCTCTATATAATGCTGGAGGTTGAGAGTCATGTTCCTTTAAAATTACTAAATATTTTCAAGAATATATTCTTCTTTTCCATCCTAACATCCCTCAACTTTCCATCACTAACCAAGTCACAGTATTAGCAAGAAAATATCTAGTGTACTTAACTGGTATACTGCAGATTGAACATGCTAAAGAGCATTATTATTTATCTGCTGGTCTTTTTACTCTGTTAGTATGAGAATTTCTTACACGTAGCTCAGCTTACATGTACATCAGTTGGTTTTCCAGTGACAGTCACATATTTCTGACATCATATTGGCCCTTCCTCCTCTAGAGTGGAAGCCTGAGAATGTCATTATCTCTGTTACATGGTTCAGCTCAGTATATTAAATTATCTGCAATTACTGCTTTTTCTTAGTATGTCACTCTTTCTGTGACATACTTAAACAGCTTGTTCATCCCCTAAGAGAAAAAAATCAAGTCTAAAATGTTAATACTGAGATATTAAGGCCAACCTGATGGGTATAGCAGATATTCTGGGTAGGACTGAGCATGAACAGTAGTGGATAGATCCCATACATATTTCTACCAAACAGTTGGACACTTCAGAAATGTGTTTGAATGAGAATCTGTAAAATTCTGACTCTCTCTCTGTTTAGTTAAAGAAACACTGCATAATGTGTCAGATCCTCAGCTGGTGTAAATCAATGTAGCTATACTGAAGTCCAGTTCAATCTGAATTCAATCTTATATTAATCTCAATGGAGTTATGCTAGTTTACACCATCTGAGGATGTGGCCCTACATATATAAATGAAACCATTTTGGGCCTCATTTTCCTTTAAAACACTAACTCCTATTTTTTACTTCTATTGTGAAAGTAGACTACACTTCTAGAATAGTTGTCTGTTAGTGACTGGCTGCTAGAGGCTTTGTTTTAACAACTTTGACTTGAAATGCAGCACAGGGTTTCACAGAAGACTTGCTGCCAGTGTAAATTAAACATTTAGTGTTGAACAAACTAATGCTAAGTCATGTCATATGAAGAAGAGATCTTTAGGTATAGGGAATATAGTGAAGCATAATTCATAAAGCTAATAACTGACCAGTGTATACTGTGCCTTACTTTCTAATTTTTCTGTTCACCTTTACCCAATCCGTCAGTGTTATTTGCATGTAAAATAAACTTTGATTGCAATGTGAAATTCATTTATATTTTTCACCATGAAGTTATGACTTAATTTATATTTAGTTAAACTGTTCTGCTTCTTCATGATGTCCCTATGCTTCAGTGGAGAAAACATTAGGATACATATACTTGCTTTGTTTTAGTGACTGCATGTAAGCAGATGGCTGTCTACTACTCTAAAGTTCGTAGTGACAGATTTAGAATATCAGTGCCTTGTGCTGGAGAAAAGTGTATGTCTCTGACAATTAATTATAGGATTAACATTTTTATGTCCCCAACATTTTTTAGTATTCTATAAAAGTTTTACAAATAGTGCAATAAAAGACTATTTAAATGCCATACATTAGAACTAGGAAATCTTTT